ATGGCTTGGCAAGGTTTATGGAGCACAGCGAACCCTCTGGAAATATTCCAGCAACAGGCACACATTTTTACAGTCGCGATGTGTGCATGAAACATAACATCTTTTATTTTTTTTTTAAATCCTCACCCGAGGATGTGTTTAGAGGGAAGAAGAGAGAGAGAGAGCGGGAGGAAGAGAAACATCAATCAGTTGCCTTCAATATGTGACCCAACCAGGGATCAAACTCAAAACCCAGGTATGTTTCCTGATCTGGAATCCAACCGACAAACAAAACAGAAACAAGCTCATAAATACAGAGAACATTTTGATGATTGCCAGATGGAAGGAGGATTGGGGGGATGAATGAAAAAAAGGGAAGACATTAAGAAGTACAAATTGGCCCTGGCCAGTTGGGCTCAGCGGTTAGAGCGTCGGCCTGCGGTCCAGAGAGACCCGGGTTCGGTTCCCGCTAAGGGCACGTACCTTGGTTGCAGTTTGTCCCCGGCTCTGGTCAGTCGTGCGGGTGGCAGCCACTCGATGTGTCCCTTTCACATTGATGTTTCTCTCTCTCTCTCTTCCTCTCTCTCCCTCCCACTCTATCTGAACAACAACAACAAAAAAGTACAAATTGGACCCTGGTCGGTGTCGCTCAGTGGTTAGATCATCAGCCTGAGCCCCGAAGGGCCATGGTTTGATTCCCAGTCAAGGGCACGTACCTGGGTTGCAGATTTGATTCCCAGCCCTGGTCAGGACACATTCAGGAGGCAACTGGTTGATATGATGTCTCTCTCTCTCTCTCTCTCTCTCTCTCTCTCTCTCTCTCTCTCTCTCTCTCTCTCCCTCCCCTTCCCTCCCTCCTCTCCACTCTAAAAATCAGTGGAGCCCTGGCCGGTTTGGCTCAGCGGTTAGAGCGTCGACCTGCGGTCCGGAGAGACCCGGGTTCGGTTCCCGCTAAGGGCACGTACTTCGGTTGCAGTTTGGCCCTGGTTGGTCGTGCGGGTGGCAACCACTCGATGTGTCCCTTCACGTCGATGTTTCTCTCTCTCTCTCCCTCCCACTCTATCTGTACAAAAAATGGAAAAATATCCTCGGGTGAGGATTAAAAATCAGTGGAAAAAATATCCTTGGGTGAAGATAAAAAAAAAAAAAAAAAGAAGAGTACAAATTGGTAGTTACAAAATAGTCACGGGGATGTAAAGTACGGCATAGGGAATATTGTCAGTAATACTGTTTTTGCAGATGACAAGACTTCATTCTCTTTTATGGCGGAGTCAATTCCATTTCTTCTTTATCCATCCATCCACTCCATTCTTGCTGTTGTGCGCACAGCCTCGTCTGTTGCTTTCCAGGGCTGCGGATCCTGGCCCTTGACCCCACGGGCACCCCCCTTCCCCCCCAGTGATGGACACCAGGTTGCCACGGACACCCCGCCACCATCATAAACAACACTGTGCCGAATATCCTTGCCCCTGGGGGCCGAGTGTGACAAATTCTTCAGCCTCTTCACCAAAGAGAGGGGAATTGCCAGGCTCTGAAATATGCAGATACTTCATTGAACTAAGTTTTACCAAACTGCACTTCAGCTCGCACTTTAGGCTACTCGTCGGAGAAATGAAACCGGTTCTGCTGCCTGATTCTTCCTGCCGCACAGCCGAACCTGAGGCTTTGGAGCTTAGGAGTTGAGGAATGTGCAGCCTTTGTTTTCCCACCTTCCTTTTCCCTCCCATCTGACAGCTTCTTGGGGCACCGCGTTAGCCACTATCATAAGTGGCCTGTTCTGGGAAAGGTAGGCGAGGGCAGCGGGAAGCCAAGGGTGAGACGCGCAGGCGGGAGAGAAGCGAGAATTTCGCTCGAGTGCGCGCGCCCCCTTGAGGTCTAATCATCTAGTTACAACTTGAGTGGTTCTTGCCTCCCACCCCAGCCCCCCACCACCATTAACTGCCGGCTAATTTACTCACATCTAAATTCAAATGATATTTATTGGGCACCATCTATGTGCTAGACCAGCGAGGTTCAACTGAAATATAAATGCGTGCCCCACGTGTAATTCCAAACTCTGCTAGCCACTTTGAAAAAGTAAAAAGAAACAGGTGACATTAATTATAATAATATATTGTATTCACTCAATATACCCAAAATATTATCATTTCAACGTACAACCAACATAAAACTTATTGAGATGACTTTTTTTTAATTTTTATTAAATCTTCACAATGTTCTGCCCTGGCCGGTTTGGCTCAGCGGTTAGAGCGTCGGCCTGCGGTCCTGAGAGACCCGGGTTCGGTTCCCGCTAAGGGCACGTACCTCGGTTGCAGTTTGTCCCCGGCCCTGGTCGGTTGTGCGGGTGGCAGCCACTCGATGTGTCCCTTTCACATCGATGTTTCTCTCTCTCTCTCTGTTCCTCTCTCTCCCTCCCACTCTACCTGAGCAAAAAATGGAAAAATGTCCTCGGGTGAGGATAAAAAAAAAAAAAAAAAAAAAAAAAATGCCCTGGCCGGTTTGGCTCAGCGGTTAGAGCGTCAGCCTGCGGTCCTGAGCTAAATCTTCACAATGTTCTCAGGACAACACATGTCCATTCAGACGCTAAATTTTTATTTAAAATACTTGATCTGTTTAGGTGTTATAACAATTACAGTTGAAGTGAATTCACATGCTCAAGTTACTCCAAACATGTTTAAAGGTTTCCCAGTAATTGAATCGAAGATCTCCTTTTTTTTTTTTTAATTTAAGTTTAAGTGAATTACAATTAAATGATTTTTTAAAATCCCATTTCTCAGTCACACCACATTTCAGGTGCTCAGTCGCCACATGTGACCAGTGGCTCACATACTGGACAGCGCTAACATGGGTTTACACCAGCTCACCCTGGAATAAGGTAGGTCTATTATCATCCCCATTTTTTCAAAAGAACCTGAGGCTCAGAAAGGGAAGCTGACTTTTTTCATTCAACAAATATTTATTGAACACCTATTGTATGCCAGGTTCCTTCCTAGAGACTCGAGACATAATGGTGAACAAGAGGCTCACAGTTCCTGGTCTCCGGGGGTTTGGATGATATGAAAGAACAAAAAACAAACAAACAAGAATTATAAATTGCATCAGTTAGAATTAATGGCAAACTATGCTCCCACCCCCACCCCCCACCCCCCCAAGCTAGGAATGACTTTTATGTTTCTAAATGGTTGAAAAAACTCTAAAGCCTGGCTGGTGTGTCTCAGTGGTTGAGCATCGACCCCTGCACCAAGAGGTCACCAGTTCGATTCCTGGTCAGGATACATGCCCAGGGTGCGGGCCAAATCCCCAGTGGGGGGCATGCAGGAGGTGGCCAATCAATGTTCTCTCTCATCGATGTTTCTATCCCTCTCTCCCTCTCCCTTCCTCTCTCTAAAAAAATCAATAAAGAGCCCTGGCCAGTTTGGCTCAGCGGTTAGAGCGTTGGCCTGCGGTCCGGAGAGACCCGGGTTCGGTTCCCGCTAAGGGCACGTACTTCGGTTGCAGTTTCTCCCCGGCCCTGGTTGGTCGTGCGGGTGGCAGCCACTCGATGTGTCCCTTCACGTCGATGTTTCTCTTTCTCTCTTCCTCTCTCTCCCTCCCACTCTGTACAAAAAATGGAAAAATATCCTCGGGTGAGGATAAAAAAAAAAAAAAAAAATCAATAAAGAAAAAATATTTTTTAAAAAACAGTCAAGCCCTGGCCGGTTTGGCTCAGCATTTAGAGCGTAGGCCAGCAGACCAGAGAGGCCCAGGTTCAGTTCCTGCTAAGGGCATGTGCCTCGGTTGTGGTTTGTCCCTGGCCCCAGTTGGGGTCGGTGAGTGGCAGCCAGTCGATGTGTCTCTCTCACATCAATGTTTCTCTCTCCCTTCCTCCCTCTCTCCCTCCTGCTCTATCTGAAGATAAATACAAAAATGTCCTCCGGTAAGGATAAAAAAAAAAAAGTCTAAAGAATAATACTTTGTGTCCTGGCTGATGTGGCTCAGAAAAAGAGTTGGGCCCTGGCCGGATTGGCTCAGCGGTTAAAGCGTCGGCCTGCGGTCCTGAGAGACCCGGGTTCGGTTCCCGTTAAGGGCGCGTACCTCGGTTGCAGTTTGTCCCCGGCTCTGGTCAGTCGTGCAGGTGGCAGCCACTCGATGTGTCCCTTTCACATCGATGTTTCTCTCTCTCTCTCTCTCTCTCTCTCTCTCTCTCTGTTCCTCTCTCTCCCTCCCACTCTACCTGAACAAAAAATGAAAAAATGTCCTCGGGTGAAGTTTAAATAAATAAATAAATAAATAAATAAATAAATAAATAAATAAATAAATAAAAGAAAAAGAGTTGGCAGGTATTTGGGGAAATCTGAGTATGGTTCAGTATATCAAACCAATTTTAAATATCCTGAGTGTAAATTTTACTGTTCTAGAGTCTAAATACCTCATGTGAGTGGAACCATACAGATCTGTCTTTTCTTGACTGGCTTATTCAACTTAGTATAATGACCTCTAGGTCCAACCATTTTATAGCATACGTCAGAATCTCCTCCCTTCCCCCCCTTTTTAAAAAAATTGATTTTTAGAGAGAGAGAAACATTGATGCAAGAGCAGAACATCGATGGGCTGCTTCCTGCACACCCCCTACTGGGATGGAGCCCGAAACCCCTGCATGCGCCCTAAGGGCATCCAACCAGAGACCTTTTAGTGCACGAACGATGCCCAACCAACTGAGCCACACCGGCCAGGGCAGAATTTCCTCCCTTTTTAAGATGAATAATCTCCCGTTGTGTAGGTATACCTCATTCTGACCACCCATTAGTCCGTGGACACTTGGATTCTCGCCAGTGCCAGTGGTCCATTGCCATTTTTTGAACAAACGCATATAAACGATGTGAGCAGAGACTGCTTGCCCCGGCAATATTCAGCGCCTAGAACAGGGCCTGGCACAGAGGAGGCGCTGAGTGCTCCTCCCAGGGCCTTCCGGACCCCGCCCTTACCCAGAGGGCGGGGCCGGCTGGGGGGGGGTCTCTCTGTGACGTCACAAAGACCCTGCCATGCCTCTGCGCTGGGCCCTGCTGCTGCTGCTGGGCCTGAGCGCCCGCAGGGGCTGGGGCTGCCTGCAATGTGACAACTCGGTGCTGATGACCCTGCGCCAGCTGCGCTTGGCCATCATACCCAGCCGCTTCGGCGAAGAGCACGTGCGGGCCCGCGCTCTGGCCCTGCTGCAGGGCATGGAGGGGCCTTTCTTTCGGGACTACGCTGTGAACTCGTTTGTGGGGGTCGTGGGTGCGTGCTGGGGAGGGGAGGGTGCCTAGCACTGTGGAGGAAGGGTCACTGGGGTCCAAGCCAGAGGCTGGGGTGGGAGACACTTTGGGGACCACGCCCCCTAGAGGGGGAAGGCGAGGCTTATCCTGGAGGGAGGGAGGGGAGGGGTCCCTTGGTTCTCTAAGGGATCCGCTGGAATTTCCTCCCCTGTCTTTCCCAGGGACAGATAACCTGGACCTTGTGGCGAGCTTTATGAAGAATCAAATAAACAACTTAATGGTTAATTCTCTGAGAGGTAGGAACTAAGAGGGAAAGTCTTTCCCCAGCCCCCTTCTCCCTCCCTTTCCACCTGTCCACCATCTTCCTCTTGACTTAAAAATAAAAGCAAACACCCGTGCATAGCCTTTACTGTGTGTCTGGTGGGGTTCGAAGTGCTTTACTTACAAAAGTCTACCACTTGGAGGTGGGCACTGCCTCTCCCAGAGGGGGAGACTGAGGCTCAGACATGCCCAAGTCACACAGCCAGGAAGAGAGATGAGAATTTGAACCTGGGACATCCTGGTTCAGACAAGGTATTCCTAACCACCACCCAGGGGGTCGGGAGCAGGCACCATTCAGAGTTAGTCATTGGAGAGTCACCTGGTCCTTCTGACAGTTCCCCAGCAGAGGACAGTAGAGGAACCTGTGGATTTGGGGGAGTTGGGGAGAGAGATCTAAACCCCAAAGACCTGTCCTACCTTGAGGGATGGAGTAAGGAGGAGGACACTATGGAAGGGCCCACCAGATTTTTAAAAGATATAATGTGCGTGCGTGTGTGCGTGCGTGTACCATATGAGAATTAGTGACACTTCAACCCTAAATTCTTCAGTGGGTGATCTCCTGACAAGGAAAGATATTTTCATTTTCTGTCATCCTTGATCTGTTCTGGGATCACATATTGCATTCATTTGTCTTTAATGATACTGACATTTTTTAAGAGCCCAGGTCAACCATTTTATGACTATTATTATCTTATTGGGGTTGGTTACATTGAGCTGGAGAACCCAAGTGGCTGACCTTAGTTACTGAGTCTCCAGCCCCTCCAGAAGTCAAGCAGCTACCACGTGGCCAAGGCCCTTCCATCAGTCACCTTGTTAGCACATACTATGTGGTGTGGCCCAGGCCCCCAAGTAAAGAAGGACACTCTCACAGGTAGAACCGTTTAAGGACTTAGAGGGTTACCTACAAGGGGCTGCGCAAAAGCCAAACCTTTTTTTGGAATGTGCAGGGTTTGGACAACACAGGCCTGCTAAGTTAAACCTTTACTGCGCAATAAATAAGTCAAAAGGGGATAAACACTATGGAGAAAAAAATAAAGCAGGAACCAGGGAATAAGCAGTACTGCAAGTAGGGGTGGGGTTGCAGTTTAAAGCAGGACAACCAAGAAGGATAACACCAAAACGTCGGCACGTGAGGAAAGACAGAAGGAGGCCTTGGCCGGTTTGGCTCAGCAGGTGGAGCGTCGGTCCAGGGACCAGGTTCATTTCCAGTCAAGGGCATGTACCTAGGTTGCAGGTTTGATCCTCAGCCCTGATCAGAGGAGGCAATTGATGTGTGTCTCTCTCACATCGATGTTTCTCTCTCCCTCTCTCTCTCTCTCTCTCTCTCTCTCTCTCTCTCTCCCCACCCCTTCCCTCCCTTCCACTCTTTCTAAAAATCAATGGAAAATATCCTCAGGTGAGGATTAACAAACAAAAACAAAGTCACTGGTGTGGCTCAGTGGTTGAGCGTTGACCAATGCACCAGGAAGTCGCCGGTTCGATTCCTGGTCAGGGCACGTGCCCAGGTTGTGGGCCAAATCCCCAGTGGGGGGCATGCAGGAGGTGGCCAATCAATGTTCTCTTTCATCGATGTTTCCACCTCTCCCTTCCTCTCTCTTTAAAAATAAAGAAAAAAATAAAAAGATTATCAAGTGAACATCCTGTACTTGCATTAAAAAAGAAGCAGCAGCCCTGGCCAGTTTGGCTCAGCAGTTAAAGCATCGGCCTGCGGTCCAGAGAGACCGGGTTTGGTTCCCGCTAAGGGCATGTACCTCGGTTGCAGTTTGTCCCCGGCCCTGGTTGGGTCGTGTGGGTGGCAACCAGTCGATGTGTCCCTTTCACGTCGATGTTTCTCTTTCTCTCTCTCTCCCTCCCACTCTATCTGAACAAAATAAAATTTAAAAAAAGTCCTCAGGTGAGGATAAAAAAAAGAAGAAGAGAAGAGAAGACAGAAGGAGAGAGTAAATAGCCGTGAGAGGGTCTGGGGTCGAGGGCTGCACGTGGAAGTTACAGTTAGTGCAATCCCTGAGACGGGTCTGCATTTGGCATATTCACAGAGCCTCAAGGAGGCCAGGGAGGCTGGAGTGGGGAGAGTGAGAGGCAGAGAAGTGGAAGATGAGGTCCTAGAGGTAAGGGTAGACCCAGTAGAACCTTCTAGGCCATGGTAAGGACTTTTGGCTTCCATTCTGGGTCACATGGGAGGGTTCTGAGCTGAAGCATGATGCGAGTGAGCTGACCGAGGTTTTAGTAGGACCCCTCTGGGTGTGGAGAACAGATTTTAGCAAGGCCAGGGGGAAGGAAGGCTGAAAACCAGTGAGAAGGTGTAGTGATGGCCCAGGCAAGAGGTGATGAAGGCTAGAACCAGGGTGGTAGCAGTGGAGGGAGAGAAAAGTGATGGGATTTCTGGATCCATCTTGAATATTGAACAAATAGAATTCGCTGACATGCATGTTGACAAGTTGCATGTGGGACATGAGAAAAAAGGGTCAAAGGTAGAACCAAGGATTTTGGCCTGAGCAAGTAGAATCATGGCACTGGCATCTACTAAGATGAAGACTGGGGGTTGAGAGCAGATTTGGAGGAGCATTCTTTTATTTATTTATATATATATATTTTAATATTTTAATCCTCATCGGGGATTTTTTACATTTATCTTCAGAAAGAGTGGGAGGAGAGAGAGAGAGAAAAACATTGATGTGAAAGAGACACATCGACTGGATGCCTCCCACACAACCCCAACCAGAGCCAGGGACGAACTGAAACCAAGGTATGTGCCTTTGACTAGAATAGAATATACATACACACATATTTATAAAAATATACATATATATGTATTAGCCATGAAGCTGGAGGAAATCATGAAGGAGTGAATGTAAACAAAAAAAGGGAGGGGAGGGGAAGGGAGGGGAGGGGAGGGGAGGGAAGGGGAGGGGAGAAGGGGAGAGGGGAGGGGAGGGGAGGGGAGGAGGCAAGGGAGAGGGGAGGGGAGGGGAGGGGAGGAGGCAAGGGAGAGGGGAGGGGAGAGGGGAGGGGAGGGGAGGGGAGGGGGGAAGGGAGAGGGGAGGGGAGGGGAGGGGGGAGGGGAGAGGGGAGGGGAGAGGGGAGGGGAGGGGAGGGGGGGGAGGGGAGGGGAGGGGGGAGGGGAGAAGGGAGGGGAGGGGAGGGGGAGATTGAGCCCACCCTTTTACCACTTAACAAATGAAGAAACTGAGGGCAAAGGAAGGTGGTTTAGCCTGGGGTACTGCAGTGAATCCAAAACTAGATGCAGGACTTCCCAGGCCATAGAGCTGCCCTGTGGACCCTGAGTGATGCCTTATACTCCTAGTGAATGAAAAGGCATTTCCTCCTCCCTTCTCTTTGAGGCTGCAGATGGGGTGCTGGGTGCCTCACAAGGATCTCTTTCTCTCCTCAGATGGGCCTCTGCTGGAACAGCTGGTGATTCTTAGGGAGAAGGTGACCATGAAACTCAAGACAGTTTTAAGATTGTATGAATTAAAAGGTGCAGCATCTCTGTGCACCAAGGCCCCTCCTCATTATCTCTCCATCCCCTTCTCTCATTTTTTCTCCCAAACTCCTTCCTCACTTCCCCAATGACTCAGCCTTCTCTGCTCCTCCCCAATATTCCTTGCTCTTCTTTCCCAGACTCTCTCCTCCCCTCCTCTTCTGGTCCCTCATCATTATATTCTCAAACCGCTGTCCCAACGAAAACTCACCTCAGCTCTTTTCTCTTGCAGCCTGTGATCACAAAACTTGCGGTGAGTCCTGCTCTTGTCTACCCCCTTCTTCTCTAACCTTTTACACCTCTTTACCCTGTCTCCCACAAATCAAGCCCCACTATCACACCTATGCCATCTAGTAAGTCCCCCACTCCAAAGCTCTAGTACCTATGGATATCTGATTTTTGAGGGCTTATAAAAGTTGCAACCTGCAAAAAAAAAAAAAAAACCTACTTTGCGGGGGATTGTTGAGCAGGATAGGAGAGCCTATGTCCTAGTAACAAATCCCACATTTCAGTGATTTAACAAAAGTTTAGTTCTCTCACCCAAATTCTACCGAGGGTTGAGCAGTTCTTCCAAGTGGTGACTCAGGGATCCAGGCTGCACCAGTGTTGTAGCTTCTAAACAAGCTTTAGAAGGGAGAAACAATAGGGAATTCCTCAGGGACTTTTATGGCCAAGCCTGGGAAGTGGCTCTGCATCCCTCTCCCCACTTTCCACTGGCCAGAACGCAGTCACATGGTTGTGACCTACTGCAAAGGAGCCTGGGAAATGTAGTCTTCACGTGTGGCAGGAAGTGGAGGAGACAGAGTGAGCATCCAACCGGTCTATGCCACAGGTGGCTGCAAAATAGGAATAGAGACATGCAAGCACTTCTTTGTAGATATTTAATTAAACGTGTTTAATTTTACAAGCAGAATTTTGGATTAACTGGACAGCTGCAACTTAATTCAACTCTTCAATCAACTTTGATATATTTCATAAACATATAATACTTATTTTTTAATGTGAGTCATCGGTGCATTTTGCTCGGCTTACTCCACAACACATGGGACCTCCAAATTCACAGGGGCCAAGGGGCTCCACATCCTCTTTCCCCTTCTGCCTTCCCGCCCCTTGCCAGTCCTCTGATAGCTGCCCTCATCCCAATTCTCCCTTCCCCCTTGTCCAGGCTTGATGAAAGAAGAGGTCTTGGACTGTTTACATTGCCTGAAGATCAGTCCCAAATGCGTAACAAAGAAGTACTGTTTTGGTAAGCTCTTGTGGGTGGGGGAGGACAGGTGCATGAGAGATGAAGTCAGCCAGTCCCCGTGGATATGGGTTTCGAGGTCTCCCACGTGCAGCCGTTAGTACTGCCCTGAACACATGCTTAAGTGCGGCCCAGAAGGCGCTTTCACATCTGAACTTCATTTCCCTGCTGTTAAATAGGAAGACTCCTCTGTAACTTTACAATGCATCTGATGCCAGAAAGGCAGGTGCTAGGAAAATACTTTATTTTTAGTCAGTGCCATACCTGGGGAGTCTGAAAGAATGTGCCAAATGTATCCATTTATTCAGAGATGTTTAAAAAATACCTATCCTTAGAGCAGAGAAAATTGTACAGTGGATCTCCGTGTATACATCGAGATTGAATAGTCATGCTGGACCTTTTCATATGCTGTTCCCTCTCTCGGTGACACTGTTCCCCTGACTCCCTCATTTCAACAAAGTCTCAGAGTTTACCTCCTCAGAGAGGACTCCCTGATCACACTCCCTGAAGTAGCACTTTCTTTCAAATTATCTTGGCAAGGAACATTCCTCCAATTTGGTTCACTTATTTTATTTTTGTCACAGTGTTTTAAAAGACATCAGGCATCATTAGAGTTCTCCCATTAATAGCGTGCCTCTAAAAATAAGGACATTTTCGCCCTGGCCAGTTTGGCTCAGCAGTTGGAGTGTCCGCCTGCGGTCCAGAGAGACCCGGGTTCGGTTCCCGCTAAGGGCATGTACCTTGGTTGCAGTTTGTCCCCGGCCCTGGTTGGTCGTGCGGGTGGCAGCCACTCGATGTGTCCCTTTCACGTCAATGTTTCTCTCTCTCTCTCTTCGTCTCTCTCCCTCCCACTCTATCTGTACAAAAAATGGAAAAATGTCCTCGGGTGAGGATAAATAAATAAATAAATAAATAAATAAATAAATAAATAAATAAATAAATAAATAAATAAAAATAAGGACATTTTCTACATAACCACAATACCATTCCCACACTCAACAAACCTAACAACAATTCTTCAATATTAAATAATTCCAAGTCCCTTTTCTAATTTCCCTAGTTTTTCCCAGAATAGCTTTCTCAGCTGATTCATTCTAAGTCCAATGAAAGGGCTTCTCATAACATTCAATGGTTAGGTTTTTTTCACTTATTTTTTAAGTCTGGATGTATTTTCCTTACCACCACCACCCCCCCATGATATTGACCAACTGGGGAAAAAAGAAGGAATTTGTCTATTTGCTCCCTTAGGTATTTAACTACAACAAATATTTGAGCACCCTATAATGCCCCAAATTTAGAATTAGCAGAATGGAAGACAAATGTCTCACAGAGCCTACATTTTGATGGGGTGAAGTGTTAGTCTAGGCTCTCTCAACTTTGGCACTACTGACATTTAGGGCTGGATGATTCTTTTTTTTTTTCTTCTTTTTTTTTTCTTTATTGATTTCCAGAGAGAGAGGAAAGGAGAGAAAGAGATAGAAACATCGATGAGAGAGAACATCAACTGGCCGCCTCCTGCATGCCCCCCAGTGGGGATCAGGCCCACAACCTGGGCAAGTGCCCTGACCGGGAACTGAACTGGCGACTTCCTGTTGCATGGGTCGACGCTCAACCACTGAGCCACACCGGCCGGGCAGGGCTTGATATTTCTTTGCTATAAGGCTGTCCTGTGTATTGCAGCCTCTACCCCCTAGATGCCAATAGTACCCCTCCCCGCCACACACACACACAAGTCATGACACTCATTTCCAGGCTTCAGACATTTCCAAATATACCCAGGGGGACAAAATTGTCCCCAGCCGAGACCCACTGTTAGGTGATAATTATACATGAACAAATATGTGGGCTGATTCCAGAAGGCAACGGTGCTCTTAATGAAAACAGAACAGAACAGTTTGATAGAAAGTCCCTGAGGGGGGACCCTGGCCGGTTTGGCTCAGCGGTTAAAGCGTCAGCCTGCGGTCCGGAGAGACCTGGGTTCGGTTCCCGCTAAGGGCACGTACTTCGGTTGCAGTTTGTCCCCAGACCTGGTTGGTCGTGCGGGTGGCAGCCACTCGATGTGTCCCTTCATGTCGATGTTTCTCTCTCTCTCCTTCCTCTCTCTCCCTCCCACTCTATCTGTACAAAAAATGGAAAAATATCCTCGGGTGACGATAAAAAAAAAAAAAAAAAAAAAAAAAGACATTTCCAAATATACCCAGGGGGACAAAATTGTCCCCAGCCGAGACCCACTGTTAGGTGATAATTATACATGAACAAATATGTGGGCTGATTCCAGAAGGCAACGGTGCTCTTAATGAAAACAGAACAGAACAGTTTGATAGAAAGTCCCTGAGGGGGGGCCCTGGCCAGTTTGGCTCAGCGGTAGAGAGTCCTGGGTTCGGTTCCCGCTAAGGGCAGCTACCTCGGTTGCAGTTTGTCCCTAGCCCTGGTTGGGGTTGTGTGGGTGGCAACCAGTCGATGGGTCTCTGTCACATCGATGTTTCTCACTCTCTTCCGCCTTCTCTCTCTCCTGCTCTATCTGAAGATAAATGCAAAAATGTCCTAGGATGAGGATAAAAAAAAAACTTAAAAAAACAAACAGAAAGTCCCTGAGAGGGGAGAATGCTGCTACTTTAGAGTGTGCAGGTGGGGGGACCTCTCTGAAGAAGTGATGTCTGAGATCTCAAAGAAGTGCAGCAGTGAGGAACAGTGTGAAAGACAGAGGGAACAGCAGGTGCAAAGATTCATTGCGGTTGAGCAACAAGGACACTGTGTGGCCATTGCCGGATGGATAAAGAGGAGGGTAGTAGGGTAGCAGCCACATGGTGACCAGATCATGCAGGGCTGGTGGACCACGGTGTTTTGAATGAGAGAAGAGCCATGGGAGGGCTCTGAGCGGAAGAGGGACAGGAGTGGACTGACGTGTTAACAGGCGCCCCTGGCGGCCACGTGGGGAACTGCAGTAAAGAGAAAGGCAGGATCCCGAGAGAGGAATGAGGGTGTGGCTGCACCAGGTCAGGAGCCCAGGAGGTGGTTCAGATTCTGGATACATTTTGAAGGTTGGGCCAAGAGGCTTTGCTGACAGAATGAAAGGGTTGGAGGGAGGGGGCGAGTGGAAGACGCAGAATGGGACTCCCGAGGCCAACTTCAGGGTCGCCAGCCAAGACGCAGGCTGACTTTCTTCTTATGAGATTGTCAGTATTTTGCATTCCTCTCTCATGCTCTTGGGCAGCCGAGCTAACCAAGTCCTCCTCCCACCCCGACCCCCATCCCGTGAGTTTCTTTAGCGCTAGGCTCTTCCCTGGCACTGTGACTGCTGTGGGGGGTCAGGGGTGAGTTCACAGTGTTTATCATGAGCACGTTGAACGGTGCCTGGGACACAGAATTGAAGGAATGGATGTGGAGAGGGAGACCCCAGGATGAGGTGGAAGGCCACGTGGTGGGAAGGAGGCCCAGGTTGCTGAGTGAGCAGTGGGTGTGGTCAAGGTCAAGGCCAATGAAGGGTGGCAATGGAGGTCTCCCCTGTCAGTCGACAGGCAGCCCCGAGTGGCCCTGCAGTACAACAAAAAGAGTGGATACCTGCAGAACCAGGCCGTGCTTGGCATCATCGTCTCCGTGTGTCTGGCTGTCTTTGCCTTTGGGGTCATCGTGGCTTCGTGAGTCACCCCTGCCCTCTCCACTGAGCCCCTCACAAACAGCACTGCCCGGGATGGGTCACTATGTCATTTGGGCATCTCCTCCAAGTCACTTTATCTCTCTGTCTCTGTCTCCCTCTGTCTCTTTTTCTCTCCTTCCCGCTCTCCATCTCTTCTCTCTCAATTATCTGTCTCTTCTCTTTTCTTCTTCTTCCTCTCCTCCTCCTCCTTCTTCTCTCTCTCACCCACTCTATCTGAAGATAAAAATGGAAAAAAGTATCCTTGGGTGAGGGTTAAACAAAAAAAAGTATTTATAATAAACACATTTTCATGGGTCTCAAGCATGGACCCCACATGGCCAAGGGGAGACCTTGCCCTCACCGTCCTCTCTCCACCTCTGAGCATTTCTCCCTGCCTGTCTGCTTGTCCCCATTCAGTCCCCTCCCCAGTCTCTTTCTGCCTCTTCCACTTGCTCCTCATCCTCCTTTCTCTAACACCTGTTTCTTCATAGTCTTTTTTTTCTTGTTAATCCTTACCTGAGGATCTTTTTTCCATTGAATTTTAGAGAGAGTGGAAGGGAGAGAGGGGGAGAAGAGGAAAAGAGAGACAGACAGAGAGAAACATCAATGTGAGAGAGACACATTGAGCCCTGGCCAGTTTGGCTTAGCAGTTAGAGCTTCAGCCCACGGACCCGGTTCCTGCTAAGGGCATGTACCTTGGATGCAGTTTGTTCCCGGCCCCCGTTGGGGTCATGTGGGTGGCAACCACTCAATGTGTGTCTCTCACATCGATGTTTCTCTCTCTCTCTCTCTTCCTCCCTCTCTGTCTGAAGATAAATGCAAAAAAATGTTCTCAGGTGAGGAGAGAAAAAAAGAGAGAGAAAGAGACATTGATTGGTTGCCTCCTGTATGGACCAGACCAAGGCTGGGGATCAAACCTGCAACCCAGGTATGTGCACTTGATCAGGAATCAAACTCGTGGCCCTTTGGTGCGAGGGCCGATGCTCTATCCACTGAGCCACACAGCTAGGACCATATTCAATTTTTTTTTTCTTAAATGTTTTTCTTTATTGATTTTTAGAGAGAGAGATAGAAACATCGATGCAAGAACATCGATCAACTGCCTCCTGCATGCCCCCTACTGAGGATTTGGCCCACATCCTGGGCATGTGCTCTGACGAGGAATTGAACTGGCAACCTCTTGGTGCACCGGCCAGGCGCCATATTCAATTTTAAACAATCCCAGTGCCTCCCTCCCAGGGGTGGTGGTGAATCTAGTGTGAGCTGTGCTGGTGTGTCCCATTCTCTCTGTCTCTGCCTCTTCCACTGGGCTTTCTCTGGACCACATGCCAACGCTCTAACCGCTGAGCCAAACCGGCCAGGGCTGGGCTTTCTCCTCCCCTTCTCTGTCCCAGTCCCAAATCTGTCCCTCTCTCCTTTCTCCCCCCTGCCCCCAGGTTGAATCTGCTGTGTCTCTCACTTTCTCTCTGACTGTCTCCCTGTCACTGGGTCTCTGTTTCTGACTCCCACCAAATATTACTCACAGCCTCCTTCCTGTCCATCAGCCCTTCTCTGCTGCTTTAAATCCATCTCGCTGTTGCTACTTCCTTTCATCTCCCAGCTGCCCTGTCTCCCAGCTGTTCTCTCTTTTGCCAGCACCTTTCACACAGCTCTCCCCCTCCCCGATGCTGTAACCTCTCTTGCTGTCTTCAACTGGTCTCCATCTCTGTCTTCCCCTCTCCCATATCTGGGTTTTCCTTTCTGTCTTGGATTCTGTTTCTCTTTCCCTCAGCCTCTTGCCCAAGTTCCGTCTCGCCCCTCAGTCTCTCTGTCCGGGGCTCTCTCCCTGCTCTGTCCCCAGTCTCCCTGGGTATCAGTTCCTGTCACTGCTGTAACCAGGACACCCTGGGTGGCTTAAGGCAACACAGTTATTCTCTTAGAATTCTGAAGGTCAGAAGTCCAAACTCAAGGGCTTGACAAGGTGGGTTCCTTCTGGGAGTTCTGAGAGAGAATCTATTTCATACCTGCCTCCTACCTTTGGTGGCTGCTGGCATCCTTGGCACTCCCTGGCCCGTGGCCCGTGGCTTTCCTCCCACCCCTGCCTCTGCCTTTGAATGGAGGGTCCAGCCTGAATCCAGGATGATCTCGTTTGCTCTTAACTTAATTACATCTGCAAAGGTTCCATTTCCAAATAATGTCACATGCACAGATACTAGGGGTTAGAGCTTGGGTATATCTTTTGGGGGACACGTTCCACCTAGTACACCTGCTTCTCTCTCTTCCTCATTTCTCTTTCTGTCTTTCCCTTCTCTGAGTCTCTCCTTCTTTCTTCTCTTTTTTTTTTTTTTTTTCTTTTTAATTTTATCCTCACCCGAGGACATTTTTCCATTTTTTGTTCAGGTAGAGTGGGAGGGAGAGAGAGGAACAGAGAGAGAGAGAGAGAGAGAGAGAGAGAGAAACATCGATGTGAAAGGGACACATCGAGTGGCTGCCACCCGCACAACCAACCAGGGCCGGGGACAAACTGCAACCGAGGTACATGCCCTTAGCGGGAACCGAACCCGGGTCTCTCAGGACCACAGGCCGACACTCTAACCACTGAACCAAACCGGCCAGGGCATTTCTTCTTCTCTTTGCTTCCACATTTTATCCTCACTCTCAGTCCCAGCTTTTCACTCCTCCCTCCTCATGAGCCAACACTGATTGGCCAAGGACCCTGGGAATCTGCACAGAGACCCAGATGTCACTGGCTAAGCCAAATGAGATGGATGATTGGAGGAAAGGTTTTTTGGTGGGGTGGGGGTGGGCATCAGTTGACATAGAGGGGCCTGCAGTTCTCTTCCTAACCTCCCTGCTTTTTCTCTCTGACCAGGGCTATTACTTACAGGCAAAACCGGAAACTCCTGCTGCGGTAGGGGGGTAGTTTGGGGGTTTGTAAGGGAAAGGAAAATAAATTTAATAAAGTCTTTGACAATTTTCTCAACGTCTCCATCAGTTACTGGAAGACCCTCCCCCACTGGTCCAGCTCTGGACACCCAACTTTCAAGAGGGATGGACAGCCCTGGCCGGTTTGGCTCAGCGGTTAGAGCGTTGGCCTGTGGTCCAGAGAGACCCGGGTTCGGTTCCCGCTAAGGGCATGTACCTTGGTTGCGGTTTGTCCCCAGTCATGGTTGGTCGTGCGGGTGGCAGCCACACGATGTGTCTCTTTCACATCAATGTTTCTCTCTCTTTCTCTTCCTCTTTCTCCCTCCCACTCTAAGAAGAAGAAAAAAAGAGGGATGGACAACCTACAGTGAGAGCTTGAAGGAACAACCATTCCCATTTTGAGGGGAATGCATCCAAACGGAGATGATACCATAGGGGGACTGTGACGGACAGGCAGGCAGAGGAACAGTCGTGGTCAATGTGGAGAACACAAGTTTCCCTCCCTCTCTCAACTCTTCAATGCTCCCCCTCTGTGTTCCTGAATAGATTCAGATACATTTTCGTGTAAATAGTTTGCTGCCTGAACTCCTGCTACTCACTAACCCAAAGCAGAAAGCAAATTGATTTGGATCACATGATAGCCTTAGTTTTCTGCATCTGCTAGCAGAACTGTTGCTCTCTCCTTCGGGATTTGGATAATGAGGATGTTTGGTGGGAGGGTTGAATTTTTTTTTTTTATCCTCACCCGAGGACATTTTTCCATTTTTTGTTCAGGTAGAGAGTGGGAGGGAGAGAGAGGAACAGAGAGAGAGAGAGAAACATCGATGTGAAAGGAACACATCGAGTGGCTGCCACCCGCACAACCGACCAGGGCCGGGGACAAACTGCAACCGAGGTACGTGCCCTTAGCGGGAACCGAACCTGGGTCTCTCAGGACCGCAGGCCAACGCTCTAACCGCTGAGCCAAACCAGCCAGGGCGAATTTTTTGTTTTAAGTGGAATTTAGCCTGGCCTGTGTGGCTCACTGGTTGAGCATCGACCCATGCACCAAGAGGTTGCTGGTTCGATTCCCGGTCAGGGCACATGCCCAGGTTGTGGAGCAAATGTCCAGTGGGGGGCATGCAGGAGGTGGCCAATCGATGTTCTCTCTCATCGATGTTTCTATCTCTCTCTCCCTCTCCTTCCCTCTCTCTCTCTCTAATATCAATAAAGAAAAAACATTTTTTTCAGTGGAATTTAGGTGAAGATTCAGTACCTAGCACAATGCTTGGCCCAGAGCAGGCACTCAGTAAATCTTTGTTGAATAAATGAGGGTAGTCGTGTTGGGGAGGAAAAGCCTACAAAGACGGTATTGACCCATACACCAGAGGGCTTTAAAGGCCAGCGAAAGGAGCTTGGCAGTTTTTCCCAGGATCTGACATCGAAACCTCAAATATCTTATGGGTCCGGGTAGGGAAAGTAACTGGAGGTCCCATTCATAGAGGCTGGAAAAGACTCAGCTCCATCCTGTGGCAGTAGTCATGAAATAACAGCCCCGGTGTTTCCAGATCTTCAGCTTATTTGTTGTTAATCTTCACCTGAGGATATTTTTTCCGTTGATTTTTAAAGAGAGTGGAAGGGAGGGAGGGGGGAGAGAGAGAGAGAAAGAGAGAAACATGGATGTGAGAGAGACATTGATTGGTTGCCCTGCGCGTGCCTGACTGGGGCCAAGGATCGAACCTGCAATCCGGGTACTGTGTTCTTGACCGGGAATCAAACCGGGTAACTTGAGGTGCGCGGGCCAATGCTCTAACCAGCCAGGGCTCAGATCTTCAGCTTTTTCATTAGGACCCAGGAACTCAGATTTTTAAAATATGAAATCTCTCCATTAAAATAGTACAGGCAACTAATTTTTTCAAATACTGAAAACCAACTCAAGAAACATTTTGCCACCGTTTTGAGGCGATGGGGAAATATCTAGGGCTGTTGCTTATATACTTTATTTTATATGTTTATTATTCTTTAATCCTCACCCAAGGATATGTTTATTGATTTGAGAGAGAGAGAAACATTGATTGAATACCTTGTTCCAGTCACCTGTTGCCGAGATACCAGTTTTATTACCTGCCGGGTAAAGCATGCTTTGAGTGGAGAGATATTCTTTTTTTTTTTCCCAATTATAGTTTACATTCATTATTATTTTGTATTAGTTTCAGGTGCACAGCATAGTGGTTAGACAATCATATACTTTATAAAGTGGCCTCCCCTCCCCCCATATTGCCAGTCTCCACCTGGCCCCATGGATAGTTATTACACTATAAATGTAGAGGTTTTGATAAGGCGGAAAAGAGGCTCAAACCTCTTACACCCTGCTCCAACCAAGAGGATTCTGGGAATAGTAGTGTCCAGCCTCTCCACCGTCCTCCCCCCACCCCCTTTCCTTTCCTCACGCAGGCGCACATCGGTGGAATGGACAGACCCTAGTCACCTCGGCAACGTCATTCCGGGCGTGTATGACGTCACCGTTACCTTGGCCTGGCCAGGGGCGGCGCACCTGTAGATGCGTCATAGATGCCCAACTTCACGCTCACTTTACTTGGTGGCCCCACCGAAGCTCACGCCAGGAATGGTGCTACCTTGGGGCACGCAAGCTGGTGTCTCCGATGTGCTCTTTGCTTGGGTGGCTGTGTTGTTTTGGATTTTAAAGTGTCTTTACGGTACTGGTCCAGCCACTCCCTTAACTTCTTGGGAATTTCCTGGGAGCAATGCACGATGCAGTAAACATATAATTAAACTGTGCATCAATTATAGGGTGATGAGAACTCCCGGAGAGCTCAGAGTATGCAGCGGGAGAGACAGACAGTCACCAAATAATTACAATACAATTATGATAATACAAGCGCTAGGATTCCTGGACGTTCCTGTGGGAACCCAGGGAGGGAGCTGCCGACTCCGGCTGGTCAGGGTGAGAATAAGAGAAAGTTTTATGCAGGAATGGCTGTCCAGGTGACCTCTTGGTAAAGTATATGATTGTCTAACCGCTATGCTGTACACCTGAAATACAAAATAATATTGAATGTAAACTGTAATTGAAAAATAAAAGTTAACCCTGGATGGTTTGGCTCAGCGGTTAGAGCGTCGGCCTGCGGACCGGAGAGTCCCAAGTTCGGTTCCCACTAAGGGCATGTACCTTGGTTGCAGTTTGGCCCCGGCCCCAGTGGCAACCAATCAATGTGTCTCTCTCACATCGATGTTCCTCTCTCTCTCTTCCCCCCTCTCTCCCTCCCGCTCTATCTGAAGATAAATGCAAAAAAAAAAAAAAAAAAAATGTCCTCAAGTGAGGATAAAAAGAAAAATAAAATTTAGCACAGCTGGTGTGGCTCAGTGGTTGAATGTGTTGTAAGGTGCCAGCGAGATAACCAGAGACACACAGCCGAATTATAAAGGAGAACTTTGTTACACCGGCGAGCTGAAGAGGGGCTCTCCCCAAATCGACAGCTCTGAGCCTTATTTGTTGCCCACTTATATAGACACAAACTACACAGAGAAAAAAACTACATTCTTGGTGCCACTTTTGGCACCGTTAAGAGGGGAACTGCTAGAAGGGAAGTGAGAGCAGCTGTAAGAGGTTAGGGCAACCATTAATCTCTTTTTTCTCATGGTTCCTCTGAGTTTCCCAAGGCCATCATTAACCCCTTATCTATAAGGTAGCCAGGCACCGCCGGTGGGAGGTGGGAAGAAACCGAAGAGCCAAACAGCCGAATAAGCAGAAATCGGGCTTTATTGGGTACACTCCCAGCGGGTTCACAGACTCGGGGGGTCGAGTCCGAGAAGCCGCGCCCGATGCTGGGGTTTGTGATTTTTATATCCGCGCCTATGGCAGCGGGAACTTGTTGTTAGGGTTAGGTCCTGAGGGGCTACGCATGGGGGCCCCTGGAATGTGAGTCTATTGTCCCGGAGCAAACAGTTCCTGGACTAGGACAGGAGAATGGGACAGGAGTTGATCTATGAGTTCGGGGCAAACAGTTCCTGAAACAGGGAGGGAGTTTAGGTTGGGTAAGCGAGGTAACGGCTGAGCAGTTTGCCTGGTGCCAGTTCCCAGGCTCTCGGACATTATCTTTATCGTTTTCTTTGGGTGTCTCAAGGCCCTTATGTTTACAATAAAGAATCTGCTAGGGTGTGTTCGTGCAGTAACTGAGGGTCAGAATGGAGTTATTACAAGTGTCGACCCATGCACAAAGAGGTCACCAGTTCTATTCCTGGTCAGGGCACGTGCCCAGGTTATGGGCCCAATTCCTAGTGGAGGCATGCAGGAGGCAGCCAATCGATGTTCTCGCTCATCAATGTCTCTAGCTCTCTCCTTTTCCCTTCCTCTCTCTCTAAAATCAATAAAGAAAAATTTTTAATTAATTAATTAATTTATTTAGTTATTTATTTATTTATTTGTGGTATGTGCCCCTAGCAGGAACCGAACCCGGGACTCTCTGGTCCGCAGGCCGACACTCAACCACTGAGCCAAACTGGCCAGGGCGAAAAAAAAATTTTTAAATAAAATTTAAAGAAAAAAACTTGTTCTTGAAAGAAAAGTAGTTTCCTAAAAAAGTACTGGAGAAAGGGCATTTCAGACAAAGAGAACCACAAATATGAATGTCAAGAGGTGAGAACTATTAATGGCTTGTTTTTAATAATATTGATAGCAAACACGTAGATGTTTTCTGCCATATACTGTTCTAATGACATATCAACGTATTCAAATCTCATAACCCAATGAAGAGGGTATTTATTTTCTCCATATGTACAATGAGAAATGGAAGAATGGAGAGGTTAATGACTTTCAGTTTCACACAAGGAATAAGTGGGATTAACCATTATGTATGCAGTCCTTGTTCCGGGGTCCTGGAGTAACAGCCCTTACTACCTGCAAAGCACTGTGTTGACTGATTTGTACACAGCATCAAATGTAAGCCTCGTCAAGGCTTCGGAGCCTAGGATTTCCAGCCTCCAAAACTTAGAAATTTCTGTTGTTTAAGCCATTCAGTGTAGGGTGTTTTGGTTCTGGCCTCCAGACCTAAGATAGAGCAACATGAAGTAAAGCAAGAGGGGCCCAGGGTTCACAGGGCTTCAAGGGCCAGGCAAAAGCCTCAAGACTTCCCTGAGCCAGGGGAAGGGCAGGGTGTGCTCTGGTGCAGAAAGACCCTCTGGGGTTGTGTCAGGGACAGACTGGAGGGGAGACACTGAAGGCCATGAGTTTGGAATGCAACTGGTGTGAGATTCCAGGATGAGTAGACATGGCCTGAGCCAGAGCCAGGGCCAGGGTTATGGGCTTGGAGAGGGTAGCAGATACTAGGAGCCTGGCAGTGAAAAGAGGGACTTTCCTGAACCCACTGGCCCTGGCTGGGTCTTCAAGCCATGGAGATGCAAAGGTCTTCCTGGGGCTGCCTGACACACCTTTATAGGGAAGTTATGCAAGTTAAATAAGCTAATCAGGCCCACTGCGTGTTAGTGACAGCTGTTATTATTTCATTTGGGCAATGGTCCATCTAGCTCTTACTCATGGGCATATACATATATTTTACATCTTTCCATGAAAGCTATGTAACTTTGCAGCTTTTGTTATTTTTCACATTTGTTTGCAAAAATTTCCCTATGTTACCATGTGGTTATCAAAATTATTTCAGGGCTCAATAACGTTTAATAGGTGGCATGTACCCCCATTTATTTAACGGGTCCCCTGAGTCCGTATAATTGAAAATCACTTTATGTTATTTTGTTTCCGATTGGAGATGGCCTTCCTCCAAGCTGCAGTTCAGGGACCTAGGCTCCTTCTATCTGCAACATGCGACTTCCAGGGTCACACTCTTCCTCTGAGTGAGCAGAAGGGAAAAGACTGCAAGTGACAAGTGGGAGGTTTTAATGGGCCAGATCTGGCCAAGGCACGCGTGTTACTTTTGCTCACATGTTATTGGCCAGAACAATCTCATGGCCACCCCAAACTGCGAGTGAAAAGGGGATATTCGCGGTGCCAGTACAGCTCGACATTTCCCAATTAACCGTGTTTCCTCCAGATGCAAAGCCCCTGTGTATCCACAGCGTCTTTTCCTCCCGCCCCACATCCTAGTCCCGGACTCCATTTCCCAGCATTCCCTCAGCAATCAGAGGCCGGGAGGGGCCGCAATGGTCTCTGGGAAATGTAGTCCAGCTGCGAATCTGCGTTTAAAGCACCAAGACTCGAGTGCCGAGACAGCGACCACGCAGGCGCATTCCGCGGCCGGCTGGAGGGAGGGAAGGCCTGGTCACCCTTCGCAACCCGCGGGGGCGCACAGGTGAGTCCGGACCTGGCGGACCGTAGCGCGAGCGGGTGGGTGCGGGCCAGGCGAGGCAGGGAGGCGGGCTCTCAGGGGGCGGGACCGGGCGGGAGGGGGAAGGGCGCAGTGGGCGGTGCCCCCCTACCTCCAGTCCTTCGTGAGGCGGCCCCAGAACCCCCTCCACCTGTGCTACTAGCACGATTAGCGCGCAGGAATTGGGCGCCTGCTGTTTGCCAGGAGTCCGGTCAAGCACGGGACGGCTGCGATCCCTAGGAGGGAGAACTCACCTTTCCTCCCTTTGCAGGTGAAGAAACCGCCGTGGCTTCTGCCAGGTCACGATGCTATTAAGTGGTAGACCAGGGATCACAGTGACCCGAACGCCCCTGCATACTCCGCACTGTCACGCCTTTGGTCTCTGTCCTTATCGTGAGCATCTCTTCCCCTCTCTCTGGGTCTCTCCTGTCCTTTTTCTGATCCCACCAGCACCCCGACCCCGTTCTGTCTCCCCTTCTCTCTGGTTCTCTGATCCTCTAGCTCTGTGTCTCTGTCGCCTTCTCTCTGGGTCTCTGTCCACCTCCCTGAGTCTCTGGCCCCCCTCTCTGGGTCTCTGTGCGCCCCCCTCTCCCAAGAGTCTCTGTGTGTGTTTTTTCTAAAAACAAGGTTATTTTCCTCCAAAACCATAGCACCATGATCACATCAGGAAATTAACCCACATGCAATACGATTGGCTAGTGTACATACCTTTACATGTTGCTAATGGACTCAATACTGTTCTTAACGGCAAAAGAAAATTCCATCTCACTCACTTCATTGGTTGTCAGGTCTCCTTAGCTTCCGTTCACCTGGGACAGTTCTTCAGTCTTTCCTTGACCTTCATGATCTTGGCAATTCTGAAGGCTACAGAGCAGGTACTTCCGGAATGTCGCTCGGTTTAGATTTGCTCAGTGTTTCCTCGTGATTAGATTTAGGTTATGCACTTTGGGCAGGACCATAGGAGTGATGCTGTGTCCTTCTCATCAGATCAGGAGCATGTGACGTCAGTTTGCCCATCACTGGTCACATCAACCTTGATCACTTGGCTAAGGTAGTGGCTGTCAGGTTTCTCCATTCCAAAGTTACCCCCTTCTTTTTGTAGTGAATAAATGACTTGCGGGGAGACAGTTAAAACTCTGTAAGACTCTCATCAAAATTTCAGCCGCTGGTTTCAGCCTCTGGGTGCATGCATTCCTGTGTAGCTGGGTTTGCCTTGGAAACACATGAGGCTCTAGTTTATTAGTTTCCACTTTGCTGCTGTAACAAATTACCACACACTGCCTGGCCCGTGTGCTTCAGTGGATTGAGCGTCATCCCCTGGACTGACAGATCCCGGCTGGATTCCCAGTCAGGGCACATGCGGGGGTTGTGGGCTTGATCCCCAATGGTGGGGGGTGGGGTGTGCAGGAGGCAGCCAATCTGTGTTTCTCACACAGATGTTTCTCTCTCTCTCCCTTCCTCTCTCTAAAGAACCAATAAAAACATTTTTTTTTTTTTAAATTACCACACACTTGGTGACTTCAAACAACAAAATGTCTTCTTACACTTCTGGAGGTCGGGAGTCTGACATGCGTTTCACTGGGCTGACATCAAGGTGTCAGCAGAGCCGTGCTCCCTTGGGGGTTCTAGGGCAGAATCCACTTTCTTGCCTGTTCCAGCTTCTGGAAGCCATTGTAGGTGTGGCCCCTTCCTTCAGCTTCAAAGCCAGAGGCATAGGGCCCACCCAGATAATCCAGGACAAGCTTCCCATCTGAAGGTGTTGAACTTGATCACGTTGAAATTCATGCCAGACATATTTTGGGGGGCAACAATTCAGCCCACCACCTGGTCTGTGTCCAGCACTGTGCCCGCCACCACACAGGGAGCCCCTTGAGGGCATAGCTGAATTCACTCATCTCTCTGTCCTCAAAAAGAAGAGGTTGGCTCTGTGGGCCAGACTTTTGGGTTCTCATTCAACTCCAACACTTTATATCTCTATGACCTTGAGCAAGGGCCTTGACCTCTTGTGCCTCGATTTGCTCATCTTGGGGTAACTGCAGTTACTTCTCCAAGAGCTGTGCTGTGGGGGCAGTGAGCTGAACTTACTGATTGCTAGTGGTGGTTGTTACAGAATGGGGACCTCAGGCCACCTGTCCTGGGCCTTTGCTCTGGCTGTTGGGAAACCAAGCCACCCTCTGTCATGAGGCTTCTTTAGGAAAGTGTCTGTCTATCTCTGGGCCAGAACTGACCACATTTTTCTGCTCCAGTCTCTTCCTCCAATTCTGCAGACTCAGGCCTGGTCCTTTCTCCCGGAGATGCAAACTTGGGACTCAGCAATGATCACCAGGACCCGGACCCCTGAGGAACAGGTGAGTCTGGGCTCCCTCTTCCCTGAGATGATTTTGTGGGCCCAAGGGCCATCCCCACCTCTGCCTATGGTCTGAAGATCTTCTGCCCCTCCCAACAGTGGGAGAAAGGCTATGGTGGGAGGGGCTCTGGGGCTGGGAGGTGTGTGGAGGAGAGGGGAGGGTGGGGTGGACTGCTCTGGGTTGGGACATTATGACACGGTCTGACAATCCATCGTGTAATGCCCAGCAGCCTTTGGTTCCCAGGTGATGTGAGCAGTGGTTTATTTTGTTCCACCTGGAGTCAGGAGGGTTGGGATCAGAGTTAATGTATGAGATGGAGTGTGACTTTGGAATATGTGGCTCTTACACACAATGGCTTTTATTTATTTATTTATTTTTTAATCCTCACCCGAGGATACTTTTCCATTCATCTCTCAGTAGAGTGGGAGTGAGAGAGAGGGAGAAACATCGATGTAAGAGAGACACATCAACCGGTTGCCTCCTGAATGACCCCGACCGGGGCCGGGCCCCGAACCGAAACCAAGGTACATGCCCTTGAGTGGAATCAAACCCTAGACTCTTTAGTCCACAGGCTGACGCTCTAACTGCTGAGCCAAACTGGCCAGGGTGGCGGCTTTTATTTTTTGATTAGAGAGAGAGAGAGAGAGAGAGAGAGAGAGAGAGAAACATCGATTTGTTGTTCTGTTTACTTATGCATTCATTAGTTGTTCATTCTGCGTGTGCCCTGTCTGTGATGGAATCTCCAACCTGGGCGTATCGGGATGATGCTCTAACCAACTGAGCTACCTGGCCAGGGCAAGGCTTTTTTTTTTTTTTTAGGGCCTTCTGGTGAAAACCGGAAGACCTACTAGACAAATTCAAAAAGAGCTGTAAGCACTAGGGCAAGGCTTGATAGCTGTTTTTATTTTTAAGGTTTCTTAGGAATGTCACGTATCAGTGTGTAGGTCACACACTGGACAAGGGCACCTCGTCTCGGTGGCATGTCCTGCATCTTCCACCCCATGCATTGGCGTATGTATTATGGCAGTTTTCACACAGATGGCAAACTGTCCTATACTATAATAATAGGCGTGTTATCACGATTTTCCAACAGATGGCAGTAAAGAGTCATGTGAAAGGCAGGTCTTGTTCTACTTTCTAGCCAAGGTACCTGTGGGCTAGCAGCTGCCTGTTTTGATTCAATTCTCTTAAATCTGTTCAAGCTCAGGGAGCACGTGGTAGGTTATTGACCCGTGACCTCTCCTGTCCCTGAATTCTGGAAGGCTGTGTCCCTCCACCTTGTACAATTGGCCCTTGCAGGAATCAGTGACCTTCAAGGACGTGGCCGTGGACTTCACCCTGGAGGAATGGGGCCAGCTAGGCCCTGGCCAGAGGGAGCTGTATCGGGAAGTCATGCTGGAGAACTACCAGAACCTTCTCTCACTAGGTGAGGCCTGCCCTCTGCCTTCCCAGGGGGCGGCATGCTGCCTCCTTTTGCCCTCATTCCCTTTGTGCTCACCCACTGCTTAACTGTGAGTGGCCCCTGGGGTCGCGTGGTGCCCTCCTGCTGTCAGCGGCGCCCCCGCTGGCTGGCCTCTGTCTGTGGCTCTTCCTGGCTTTTCCCAGAGTCCTCTGCTTGTCCCATAAGATCTTCAGCCTGTGCCCGCCCCTCTCCTTTTGCTCCCCTCTCCACATGCAGGGACCTCAGGTTCCCACTGTAATGCCTGTTCCAGAATCTCGGACTCCAAGTGCTCCCCACATGTGCTCCAGTCAACAGGCTCCATCTCGAGTCTTCTCCCCAAAGCACATAAATGCTGTCCCCCAAATGAGTCTCCTGAGTCACATACTTGTCCACCCGCCTGCCTTCTACCCCTGGGCAAGCCCTCTCATACTCACTGCGCTCACCCTGAGCTCCGTCTCCACACTGACCTGCTCCTCCCTCCCGCTCTGGGTCCCCATCTTGAGTTGGCCCCATGTCCTCCAGACCCCCAGGCACCATCTTCTCCTCCCCCTTCCCCTTCCGGACAGCTGTCAGGTCCCACCCCCAACCCCTAGCTTTCTGCACACCCAGTTCATTGTCCTCTCTGTCCACACAGCCTGGCCCCGCTCAGGCCTCGTCTTCTCCCCTAACCCCACTCCAGCCTGTTCTCTGCTCTGTCTTTCCTTCTCCATCCATCTCCTCCTTCCCAATTCCTTCTTCTGGCTCCTCTGGCTCTCCTTTTCTCTGTAAGTTATGGTGGGGTGAAGGCTCTGTCCTCAGCCCTCCTCACTCACACAATTTCTCTGCACAAACTCATCAAAAACTCAGCTTAGACTCCTACCCCGGCCAGTGTTGCTCAGTGGTTAGCGTGTCAGCCCATGCTCCAAAGTGTCTCGTTCGACGTTCGATTCCCAGTCAAGGGCACGTACCTGGGTTGCAGGTTCGATCCCCGGCCCTGGTCGGGGCGAATGCAGGAGGCAACCAATTGATATGTCTCTCTCACATCAATCTCTCTCTCTCCCCCTTCCTCCCTTCCACTCTCTCTAAAAAATCAATGGAAAAAAATGTCCTCAGGTGAGGATTAACAAAAAACAAACAAACTCAGCTTAAATTCCTGTGTTAGGGTCCCCAAGACTGCTCCCAGGTTCAGTGATGCCCTAGGAGGACCCACAGGCCTCAGCCTACTTACCTACCTGGAAGCTCATCAGACATTCAGCAGGGTTTTTCCTGGGGAATGGTCATAGCAGTACCCACCGCCTGGAACATTCCAATATTCAATATTCCACACTCCTCGAGGGAAGTAGGTGTTCAGAAGAAGCCACGTTGTTTTGTACAAACAGGCACAGGGAGCCCCTCTGTTATCAGTGAGAGAAGGCTGGAACCCTCCCCAAATCCGGTTCCCTCGCCAGCCAAAGGCCAGCTTTGTGAGCAGGCCTTTCCAAGGGGAGCAGTCAGCCTGTTGTGTTAACTTTTCTGCATAACCTGCAGAAGGTCTGTTCAGTCTGGCCCCTGTGCTCCAACTCTGTGTAGCTGGTGGCCTCCAGAAACACCTCCCCAGGAAGGTCCTGGCCTCCACACTCCCTGTCCCCACTGAGCTCACCATGTGCCCCAAGACCTACTCTTCCTCTGAGTCTCCCATCTCAGGGACAGTCCCTCACTCACCTAGTCACCAGGCCAGCCCTGTGCTGTCTTTATCAGCTCCTTCACACCCTGTGTGGCTGGGCCCTGCCCACCTCCTCAAGGTCGGCCCCTTCCATTCTCTTCCTCCCTCACATCCTGCAGCCAGAGGGAGGCCTGTCTCTAAGGGGAGCTGTCAGCAAGCTGTCTCCTCATGGGAATGCTCAGTACAGCGGTGTATTAGTTTCCTGTGGCCTTTGTAACAATGACCACAAGCTTGGTGGCTTAAAACAGCAGAAATGTATTTACTCAGTTCTGGAGCCGGAAGTGCAAACTCAAAGTGTTTGCAAAGCCATGCTCCTTCTTTTTTTTTCTGGTTAATCCCCACCCGAGGATATTTTTTACCATGGATTTTTAGAGAGAGTGGAAGGGAGGGGTTGAGGGGGAGAAAGACAGAGAGAAAAACATCAATGTGAAAGAGACACATCGATTGGTTGCCTCCCACATGCACCTCGGGGCGGGGAATCAAACCCGTGACCCCTTGGTCCTTGGGCTGACGCTCCAACCACTGAGCCACAGCGGCCAGGGCCCATGCTCCCTCTGAAAGCTCCAGGGGAGGGGCCTTTCTTACCTCTTCCAGCTTCTAGGGGCTCCTGGCGATCCTGGTGTTTCTTGTCTTATTCCAGTCTCTGCCTCCGTCTTCATGGCCTTTTCCCCTCCATATGTGTCTGTATCTCTCTTCTCTTCTTATAAGGACACCAGTCATTGGATTTAGGTGTCACCCTACTCCAGTAGGACCTTGTCTTAACTAATTACATCTGCAAAGCCCCAATTTCCAAACAAGGCCACATTCCGAGGTTCCTCTGGACATAATTTTGGGGGAGCACTGGAGGAAGAGAGAAATTAGTGATCTCAAAGGCAGCAGGCATAAACAGTAAAATCAGATGAGGTTAATTTTAGTAATATATTCTGTTTCATCCCATCTGTCCAAAATGTGATCTTTTCAGCATGTCAAAATCATAATCAGTACACAAATTGTTAATAAGATACTTCATCTTTTTCTCCATATTAAGTTCTGTGCAATGTGGGCGTATTTCACACTCAAACTGAACAGCACAGAGCCAGAGCCTTAAACAGAGCCAGTGACGTCAGGGCTCAGGTGTTATCTGGAGTGTGCCCCAAGACCTACTCTTCCTCTGAGTCTCCCATCTCAGGGACAGTCCCTCACTCACCTAGTTACCAGGCCAGCCCTGTGCTGTCTTTATGAATCTTGCATTATTGAATCTTGCATTATTGACCAATAGTGTCTAATCATAAGTCACCCAATGTATGCATCTCCCGTGAAGACCCAGGACCTGGGGCCCAGTCCTGGGGACTCCCTCTGACCATGGCACCCATGGGCCAAGTGTCAGGTCTTTTCCAGGTTCAGGACTTCCTGGGTCCAAACCCGACGTGATCTCCCGCCTGGAGCGAGGTGAAGAGCCCAGGATGGAGGAGAGAGACCAGACAGTTACCTGTCCAGGTGGGTGAGGATGTTGAGCAGATGCGAGCCATCTTACCCCATCTGTCGTGATCAGTGATGGTCATTCAAGAATGAGGCAGCCCTAGCCAGGTGGCTCAGGTGCCTTTTGAAATAGCAACATAAACTTGGAAACTTTCCGTTTTAAATTTACAATGCCAGTTCTAAATAATCAGCTCCTACCCAGGCCAGTGTGGCTCAGTTTGGAGTGTTGTCCTGTACAACAAAAGGTGGCGGGTTTGATTCCTGGTCAGGGTACCTACCCAGGTTGTAGGTTCAATCCTCGGTTTGGGTGCATGTGGGAGGCAACTGATCAATGTTATTGTTCTTTCTGTTTCTCTCTCTCCCTTTCTCTCTAAAAAAAAAACAAATCAATAAAAAATTTTTTTATAAATAATCAATTTCCTTTGTCCCGGAACACAAAATATTCATATCTTCCATTTGTTTCAGATCTGGAGACAAGCTCTGCAACAACTCAGGAGACACTTCCAAAAGGGAGTATTTCTGCAGAAGCAGCTTCCCCCATGGGAAAGATGGAGGGGATTTTAAAGGCAGTGCTTGGAGACGCCAAGTTGGGGGAATCCTGGATATACAGTTGCCAACTGGAGGACCAGGGAAAGCAGGAGAGGCCTTTGAAGTGTGTGTTTGCATTTCCCAGGGAGAACACTTGTGGCGAGAGAAGGCTTCACTGCAAGGAGTTTGGGAGAAGCTGCAGGCGGACCTCAGCCTTCATCAGGAATCACAGAGTACCTGGGGCAGACAGGCCTCAGAAATGGAACGGATCAAGAAATAACTCAAAAGGCCAAAGGACCTTTGTAGAAAAGAAACCATTTAACTGCGCAGAATGTGGGAAAACCTTCATTTACCATTCAGACTATATCCTACACCAGAGAACTCACACGGGAGAGAAGCCCTACCAGTGCAAGGATTGTGGGAAGGCGTTCAGCAACAGCTCGTATTTCATTCAGCACCACATCATCCACACCGGAGAGAAGCCCTACACGTGCAACGAATGCGGCAAGACCTTCACTCAGAGCTCGTCGCTGACAGAGCATCAGAGGATCCACACTGGAGAGAAACCCTACCAATGCAAGGAATGTGGAAAGGCCTTCACCCAGAGCTCCTCCCTCATTAAACACCAGCGATGTCATACTGGGGAGAAGCCCTATAAATGCGACCAGTGTGGGAAGTTTTACTCTCAGGTGTCCCACCTCACCCGCCACCAGAAAATCCACACAGGGGAGAAGCCCTACAAATGCGGTGATTGTGGCAAGGCCTTCTGTCACACCTCCTCCCTCACCCAGCACCAGACGATCCACACCGGAGAGAAACCCTACAAATGTAACGAGTGTGGGAAAACCTTCAGCCACAGCTCATCCCTGACCCAGCATCAGCGGGTGCACACAGGAGAAAAACCCTACGAGTGTTCTGAGTGTGGCAAAGCCTTCAGCCACAGTTCGTCCCTGACTCAGCATCAGAGGATTCACACTGGCGAGAAGCCCTACGAGTGCAATGAGTGTGGGAAGGCTTACACGCAGATCTCCCACCTCATGAGGCACCAGAGCATTCACATGGGGGAAAAACCCTATATATGTAATGAGTGTGGGAAGGCTTTCAGTCACACCTCATCCTTTACTCAACACCAGACGATTCACACTGGTGAGAAGCCCTACAAATGTAACGAATGTGGGAAAACCTTCAGCCAGAACTCTTCGCTGACACGCCATCAGAGGATTCACACTGGGGAGAAGCCCTACGAGTGTACTGTTTGCGGGAAAGCCTATGCCCAGATTTCCCACCTCATTCAGCACCAGAGGATTCACACCGGAGAGAAACCCTATGAGTGCAGTGAGTGTGGGAAAGCTTTCAGTCGGAGCACGCACCTTATTGAGCACCAGAAAATCCACACAGGCGAGAAACCCTATAAGTGTAAGGAGTGTGGGAAGACATTCAGTCACAACTCATCCCTTACTCAGCATCAGAGGATTCACACTGGTGAGAAACCCTACGCCTGCCAGGAATGCGGGAAAGCCTTCAGTCAGAGCATCCACCTTATTCAGCATCAGAGGATTCATACAGGAGAGAAGCCCTACAAATGTAACGACTGTGGGAAAACCTATACCCAGATCTCACACCTCATTCAACACCAGAAAGTTCACACGGGTGGCAGACACTATGCGTGTAAAGAATGTGGAGAGGATTTCAGCTGGAGTTCACACCTGGCTGAACATCAGAAACTTCACACCATGCACAGCACCTATATCTGCAGTGATTTCGAGAAGGCCTTTGCTTGGAGGACACAGCTTGCTGATCATCAGAGAACTCATGCTGATTAGAAAGGCCTGAGAATGGCTCTGGCCAGGTAGCTCAGTTGGTTAGAGTGTTGTCCCAATACACTAAGGTTTCAGGTTCAATCCCCATACATACAAGAATCAACCAATGAATGCATTTTTTTTCCAAGCCTGACGATACAACAAACTGGCAGTTCTACTGTTGGGTTCAGTTTCGCATTCATCAGCCCTAGCAATTTCCTCCCAGAGAGGAACTCCACACATTGAAAAAGTTGGTTTCTTTCTTTCCTACAGGAAGGCTGGCACAGTTTATCACCAGCTGGGACAGCTTCTAATCATTTTAGGAGCTCTCTCCTAAAACTTCAACATCCTCCCTATTTTTTAACCCCACCATGTCCCCATGGGACAGTGTGTCTAACTGGGATACGACTACATCTTGAATTTTTAATACGGTCTCTCTGAGCTCTTTAAATGTATCAACTATTCATTAAATTGGAGCTGAAAATTCAAGGAAAAAAAAACACAGCTGGAAAGATTAACCTGTTAGAGTAAAAGCCTCAAATACATGTAGCTGAACATAAATACTAGACCATTTTAGTTTCCTTTAAAACTTAAAGATACAAGTTTCACTGCCAAATTTGCAGTTGGCTTAAACACTGAATACATTTCCCACATTTACAGCCATTTTTTATGTCCCATTGTTTGTCTTTTCCATTTTCAGGATTTGTACTTTACAAAGCAGCTGCCCAACTAAGCATCGTTTTCTGATTTTATTCATGCCAAAAGGGATGCTTTTCTTTTCTTTTTCATTTTATTTTTTTAAATCCTCACCCGAGGATATTTTTCAATTTATCTTCAGATAGAGTGGGAGGGAGAGGGAAGGAGAGAGAAAGAAACATAGATGTGAGAGAGACATCAGTTGGTTGCCTTCCACATGACCCCGACCAGGGCTGGGGACCAAACGGCAACTAAGGTACGTGCCCTTGACCAGAATCGAACCCATGACTCTTTGGTCTGTGGGCCGATGCTCTAACCACTGAGCAATTGACCAGGGCTGTTTTTCTTTTCTTAGATTTTGTTTATAATTAGATAAACATAGTATTTATCTAATTATTTTAAAATATGCATACTTTTATAACAAGAAAAAAATTTAAGTAAAGTCACATACTTATTGTAAAAGATAATTTGGAAAGTGTAGGTAATTATGAACTAAAATATCAATTCCCACCCTGGTTGGTTTGGCCCAATGGTTAGAGTGTCGGCCTGTGGACATTAGGGTCCTGGGTTCAATTTCTGGTAAAGGGCACGTACCTAGGTTACAGGTTCAATTCCCAGACCAGGGTCGAGCAGGAGGCAGCCAATAAATGTGTCTCTCACATCGATGTTTCTCTCTCTCCCTCCTTCCTACTCCATCTGAACATCAATGAAAAAATATCCTCAGATGAGGATTAAAATACCAATTCCGCCCTGGCCGGTTTGGCTCAGCAGTTGGAGTGTCGGCCTGCGAACCAGAGAGTCTCGGGTTTGGTTCCCACTAGGGGCATGTACCAAAAAATAAATAAAATAAATAAAAATACCAGTTCCCCATAATCCCACAGCCCAGAGAAACCCACTAGTCATTTTAGGGTGTATTTCTTTCTGATTTTGTTCTGATTATGTTTGTCCATATCCATATTTTTAAACTTTGAAAAATTTGGATCATAAAACAAAAACTTGGCCACCCTCAGAAGTCATATTTTTTGACTTTGTCATATTTCTTTACAAATATTTAATTTTTAAAAATATTTTTTCTTAATTAATTTTAGAGAGAGAGAAAAGGAGAGAAAGAGAGACAGAAACATCGATGAGAGAGAACATCGATGAGAGAGAACATCGACTGGCCACCTTCTGCATGCCCCCCACTAGGGATTTGGCCCACAACCTGGGCACATGCCCTGACCAGGAACCAAACCAGCGACCTCTTGGTACATGGTTTGATGCTCAACCACTGAGCTGCACCAGCCGGGTTCTTTACAAATATTTTAAAATAAATGTTATTTTATTTCATTGTAATCAGAGCGTAGAACCAGTTTTGGCTTCTCTGTTTTGCCCTCATTTTCCATGAACATTGTTTTTTGTTTGTTTGTTTTTACCACATACACTTCATACTCATTATTAGGGCTAATGATATTTCATTGGTGGGTGTAGAAGAATTACAAATCAATTACCCCATTTGGGTTTTGTTCTAAGACCTTGATTTACACAGGCTGTTCATCCATTTTCCCATTTATGAATAATGTTTTTGTTTTTTTGTTTGTTTTTTGTGGTACATGCCCCTAGCAGGAACCGAACCCAGGACTCTCTGGTCTGCAGGCCAATGCTCAGAGGCTGAGCCAAACTGGCCAGGGCTATGAATAATGTTTTAATGGGCATTTCCACACTTATTTCTGTCTCCTTTTGAGGTGATTAATATCTAAGTCAAATTCCCAGAGTGGGAATAACAGAATGGAGACTCTAACCATTTTCCTGATTCCTGAAACACATTTCAAGTTGCTTTCCAAAGGGATTGAACGTAATCCACCTGGCACAAGTGGGCACGAGGACCACAGTTTTGCTATATTTTTACCAGCACTGAACATCAATCATGTAATTTTCTCCCATGTCAAACATATAAAATGGCTGGTGCTTTCAGTAACCTATGTGCCATGTTCTGTTCTAAGCCCTTAGTATGTGTGAATTCTTCATTCTTTCAACACCCCTACATGTTTGGGGCTGCATTGGCCCATTTCACAGATGAGGACACTGAGGCACAGTGAGATGAAGTCATGGTGTCTGGATTCAAGCCCAAGTAGTCAGCTTCCAGAAGCTATGCTCTGAAATTCTACTGAGATCGAACACATTCTACATATAACACATCCTTCTTAAAACGATGTTTATTGTCTTATGAAAACCAGTATGTACTTCTTTCTTGAGATTAGGTTTATTAAAGCTGGGGACAGTGAAACAAGAAAGGGCCTAGGATAAAACCAGTACATACTTCTTAGAGAAAATTTAGAAAATCCAAGAAATACGGAAGTTTTCCAAAATTCAATACTACCCAGAGATAATTGCTAACATTTTTTTATACTTCTGCTATTTTAAAAAATATAATATTAGCTCTGGCCAGTTTGGCTCAGCGGTTGAGTGTTGGCCTGCGGATCAGAGAGTCCAGGGTTCGGTTCCTGCTAGGGGCACATACCACACACACACACATAAAATATATATATATATAAAATATTATACATAGTTTCATAAATCTGGGGCATACTGAAAATAACTGAGTGTGCATCTATCCTTACTTAACTTCATATCATGGCCCCTATCATTAAATATGATTTACCCATATCATGAAATACACGTATTGTTAAATATCTCTAACAACCAGATGTTCTGGGTCTTTGCAGAGTTTATATTTATTCAACCAACATATTAGCCAGTCCCCTGTTAGATATTTTCGTTTTTTACTTTTATAAATGTCCCTTCTACTAAAGTTTTAGGCTTAGCACCTAACCAGTTCCCAAGTGATATCCTGGCAGGGAGGTCGTGGGGTCATAGGAGAACCGTTCAATCACCCCGTGTATGTAGCCAGTGCCTTCCCAGAAGCTCCCTAACACTGGCAATCTGACTGGCAGTGGATGGCACTGTGTCTCACCAACATCATTCGTGGTAACTGTTACCATGTTTAAAAGTCTTTGCCCAGGTACAGTATTTCACCAATCTTTCATGGTTGAAGAAATATACTCGTTTATTATGAATAATCCGGACAATACAAAAGTAAAGACAACAATGGTTCTCTATAAATCTTCATTTTGAAGATTCTTGACTTTTCTGTGACTATGAACATCCCTGTTGGCTCTTAGGACGATCCCCCTGAGGAGCCCGAATCCCACGGGTATCTGGGAAGTGTAGTTCATCAGGGAGTCTGCGCAGGCGCCGAGGCCCGCACGGCACCTTAGTGAAGACTTACCTGTGGGGAAGGAACTCGGCGTGGGAGGCTGACCCGAGGTCCAAGGCCCAGTTGCCAGGTACTTGAGAACCCCGTCTTTGACAAGAATAGCAGTCTCGGGGGCTTAGGCCACCTAGCGGGATAGAGAGGCGCGAGAAGCTGGCGCGGACCAATGGGGCATCCCCCTGATGCTGGCTGGCTCGCGGCCTGAGGCCAGGGGTAGGCAAGATTAGAGGCGGGGAGGTGAGGGGTTAGGGGCGTGGCTGTGAGCAGGGCTAGCGCGGGGATTGGCTGGTAAGAGAGCGGGACCTCAGGTATTGAGCCAATGAAGCCTAAGTGAGCCAAAGGCGGGGAAGTTTTTCTGAGTATCCTCATACTCAGGGTCCTTCTTGAGGCTTGGATTGGATTGGGGATTTGTCCAGGGTTGTTCACGGGTCTTGCTCTTGCTTTGGGGACTTATTGGCTGAATCGAATGGTGTGGAACCAGCTTAGTTTCTCAGGTTGTTTCCAAGCTCACTTTCTGAGGAAGTAAATGTTTAGTATAAATCTATTATTGCTTTATTAGTAATACATCTTTCAATTACTTATTGCTAGGTGTTGTGCCAAGGTCGAGGTTAAGTGCTAGAGTTCCAAGTTTATAAATGCTAATCTTACAAAATAATTAAAATTTATAGTAATAAAATGTGCTGTATGCGTATTATGAACCAAGGGTAGTGTTGAAAAATTCTGGGTTACTTTTAATGCTAATAATTACCCAAAAATATTCATTATACTGAAACAGCTAATATTTCTGCATCCTGGGTGTCAGGCACAGCTCTAAACATCTCACAACCTCCCAGTGGAGTCACTGCTATTGTTACTGCTGTGTTATATATGAGGAAACAGGTTGGCAGGGGTGATGGTGCCTGCCCAGGGTCAACAACAACTGGTAAGGACAGAATGAGTCTTTGCCTTTAGCATAGTGGTTAGGGGTCCAGCGCTGGAGCCTGACTGCTTAGGTTCAAATCCTGGCTCTACCATTTTCTCACTAAACAATGGGTCAACGGGGACAAATTTCCTTAACCCTTTGGCCAGAGTGTGT